TGAGGCCTGTCAGTTGCTAATAGTGAAACTGGTCCTCAGGGGGGCAGCACAGTACAGTTAGTGTGATTGTATGTTATATGGATTTATGATGTAATTTCAAATAAACAAATTATACTCATCAACATTTGCTGTGATGTTATGTTACAGTAAGTAGTGGCTTTTAAATTTCCATACGTGTCATGGTATCATTTATCAAAGATGTTTTGTATTTTAACTTTGAACTGGTACTTAGTGGTATAGCAGATAGATGAAGTAGGTTTAATTGTTACACTCTAAACAGTCACTGAATACTGTGTATTTCTGATCATGCTTCAGCAGGTTGTCTTTACTATGTCTGCATGTCTAAATGCATTGTATTGCCACCATGAGCAGTTATTATAATGATTGAGACGGTTGGAATACAATATTATGTACACCAGGCACTTTATTAGATACACCTTAATACACTGGGCGGCAGCACTGTGCTGTAAAAGCTTTATAAAAGATAAATTGTTGTGATATAAATGCAGCATTTTTAAATGTAAGGTGAAACCTTTCACACCATATTCAGTGACACAACTGCCTTTATTCCCACTCACATCCCTCAACCTCATCAGCTGGTTGACCTTATGTTCTCAGAAAAAGGTATTGTGTTAACATAATCCAGGCCAATATTACATCAGTGTGTGTCACACTGTGTGACCACAGAGGCCACAGTGAGAGTATTTAAAGGCAGCAGCAGCTCTGTTCTTGTAAAGAGCGTTTTCAGGTGCGTGGACGGACACAGAAGAGAGAACAATGTGGGTTAACTGTGATGAACTGATACTTCTTGAAATAGACACTGATACTGTGAGTTGGCTCTCGCTCTACGATGATGATGATGCTCTGCTTTTAGGTCATTTCCACTTCATAACAAGCCACACATTTCTTTAAGAATCAACACATGTAATGTCTTTACAAGTCAACTGCTATGTCGTAATAATAACCATAATTGTTTCTCAATATATTTCCTTACACTCTAAAGCTGTTATAATCAAACATTCATCCTGCAATAGACGTGATTAAAATGTAACAGATCCAAATAGTTTAAAGTACAAAATGTTCACGAAAGGCTCATGTGTATGACTTCCTTCTTGCACACATTATAGAGCTTTAAATAGTCTCTCCTCCTCTCTTCAGTCAGGTGTCTCTGCTCTCAGTAACCTGCAAGACACACAAGATACAAAGACTGTAGCCACAAATCTTAATCAGTTAAGATCAAGATGCCCCCCTCATCATTATGACACGTGACCCCTCCTCCATCACTTCTCAAAAGCAAAGTGATGGCATTCAAATAGAGCAAAAAGATACCGGAGACCAGTATTACCCTCAGTCCTGCTGACTTTATATATTGATTGTATAATAGAAGTGATCCTCTTCAGTTAAAAGTAGGTTGGTACCTGCATAGGGAGCTGGTGTCGCTGAGCAGCTGTATGCTCTTGGTTCTGCTTTGAAGAGAAATAAAATAAAAAAATGTTTAATTTGCCTAAAAGATGAAATTTGTTTGACCCTAAACGACTGTGTCATCTCTTGACTGTACTGTAACAACATGAACTGGCAGTGGATTTTAGGCGAGGTCATTCAGGAGTTCAAGACTTCTTCAGAAAATATGACCAGACACCAAAAAAGTACATTTTTAATAATTTATAATAATAATTTATAATATTATAAATTATGAATGAATTATTTAGATTTTTAATTGATTTTTGAAAAATTTATTTCCCAGCATGTAAGTCAAAATGCTGTTTCAAAGCATCGTCCAGACTGCTAGAATACAATTTTAGCCAAATGTTAATATACTGAATCTAAGTATATTACTCAATCAATTAACAGTAATATTTAAACTTCCCTAGGATCTTAGGGTCCTCAGTGATATAGCTATGGACATGAAGGATCTAACAACATTGTTGTTTTTTTGTATGTTTTAGGTTGAAAAGTTATTTAATAACTGTCTGGTTGTATCTGATTGTGTTCTTCGGCTTACATGTGGTGTACCACAGGGTTCAATTATTGGTCCATTTCCTTTTTTTTTCCTGAGATGCACCATCCAATGTTTTGATTATACATGTTAAGGAAGAGAACGCCAACAATTCCTAAATAAACTGATAGTGTTTGATTATTTAATTTATTATTTAGTAAGTTCTATTTTAAAATAATATTTTACAAATGGTTTTGCCTTGTGATCTGCTCACAGTTTGTACAGACACAGTTAATGTCCTGCCATGTTATTTTAGTAATGTCGGTGAATCTAGAGCAAAAAGTGTGAAAATATAAAGGTCCAAATTTACGACAGTGCAGTTAGTCTTCTGATAGTTAGTCTGGCCCCACTGTTCATTTATAAATTAGACTCACTCACTGACCAACACACGAAACACATCTGGCTTAAAAAACACGGTGTCCTGATATAAATAAATGTAATGCGTACTTTGTGGTGTAGTATTTTTTCATAGTGGCTTCTTGACTCACAAGCAGCCTGTCCCATGATCGCAACAGCAGCAGCGAACGAGGGGCCCATCTACCTGTTTCTGTCTGTGGGTTCTGTGTGTGGTTTTTGTCTGAGCTGCTAAAATAGAAGCCCTAACAGTCACAAGGGCCGAAACAGACTAGTGTTATGTTATTTGTGGTCTCACCGTGTATTCCTTGGGTTGTGCACACCAACAGAATGTCTGGTGTCAATGTCAGGGATGGAAGAGGTCGTACTCTTAATGCACACATGACTTTTATTTATTTGTTTGTTACATGTTGGGGACTCTCTCTTTCTCAGTTCTGCAAGTATAATTGACTCTTCGTCCTTCATGGCGTTTTGGGTGATGAGGAGCATACGTCGGCTCTAGCTGGAACAGCTACACACGGGCCTCTCCAGTCACTGAGGAACCGCATAATGAAGTACAACAACTTTAGCAGTAAGGTTGTGGCCTTACACACAGGCTCGCACATGTGCCCAGATTAAACGTGCCGTGAAATATGCATGAAAAATGCTACAGTTCACAATTATTCATGACCCCACCTGACATGTCTCAGGATATATATGTGTGTACAAGTTGACAGAAGAAAATCTGTATAGTATGTATAGTATAAAGTATGAAAAACTATTCCTACATGTGATCATTTCCATATTGGCTAACTAAATACATACAGTGATGTTGCAATGAGGTTGTTGTTCCTCACCTGTTTGTGGAGAAGAGGAAGACTGGAAGGAGGAAGGAGAGGTTGCGGTACCTGTTTGAATAATAAAATAAAACAAAGTTAACTTAAACACAAAAAGTCACGTTCTACAATGAAGAGCCCCCTTTTAGCAAACATTGTGTCAATAAATGAAGGGGTTTCTTCATTTGTATTCTCTGTACCTGTGATGATTGTCTGACCGTTCCTACATCGCACTAATCCGACCAACAGCAGCAGAGCCACCAAGAAAACACAGAGGCCAATGCAGAGCAGCAGGTA